GCATCCGAAGTCAATCTTTAGTTCTCGAAGGTCCTTTCTCTAGCACAGCCTTCCCAATGGTCATTTTGTCCGGGGTAGCGCACGAGTCCCGAGACTAGGTGGCGATGTGGCACGTTCCAGGCCGTCTTGTCCACCGCAAATGTAAACCTTGTGCGAGCGTGATGGTCTGGCCCTTGGGTGCTCGGACGCACCCCTTTAAGCTTGTGACGAGCATACACAGCATATATCGAAGGGGTCACTGTTCATAACTACGCCTTGATAGCGTAGAATAGATTCCTCGTCATGCACCCAGACACTCTTCCCCGAAACTTGCGAAGGCCACCTCACCCCTCGACCAGGTGCCTCGCACAAACATGGCCCCGTCAGCAGTTTTCCAGTCGCTCGAAAGCTCAGAATACGCCGCTGCAGCCGCTCCTAAAAATGGCGCCGTGTTCAAGAGCGGCGATCCCAAGAGTGCGCTGGCCGAGATCAGCGACCCAGAGGTGACTGGGCCGCCTGCGTTCGGCGACCCGTACGAGGCGCGGGCATACCTGAAGCATCGCCTGGCCATCGCATGCCGCATATTTGCCCAGTTCGGCTTTGCCGAGGGAATTGCCGGCCATATAACCCTGCGAGACCCTGTCGACCCGACCAGCTTCTGGGTGAACCCCTTTGGTATGTCTTGGCGGTACCTGGGCGCTGGAAAAGTGTCGTCGTGCTGACAAAGTATCGCTCCTCGTGGTCGGCGCCCGTCTTTAGGCCTGCACTTCTCGCAGATCCGTGACGAGGACCTGATACTGGTGAACGAGTCGGGACGTGTCGTGGACGGCGGACGGAACCGGAGGCTGAACCATGGTGGGTTTCTCGTTTGTCCTGGAAGGGTTGGGACGGAATTAGCACAATTCCATATCCCAGTAACAAAGAGCAACAAGGAGACAGCCCGCTGACGTCTAACCAAAGCCGCCTACGCGATCCACGCCGAGCTGCACCGCGCCCGCCCGGACGTGAACTGCGCCGCCCACGCGCACACGCTGCACGGCAGGGCCATCTGCAGC